TCTTTATAGTCGTGCAAACAGTATCAACCGCAAATTTTTCTGTTGCTCTCCATCTGTTAAGAGACACCTGTTTATGACGTATTGCGCCCAGCTATATGGCGCCCAGTTATGGAGCTCTGTAAGCTCTGGTGTTTTGTATAAGTGCAGAGTGGCTTATAATAATTGTTTTAGAATCATAATGAATCTGCCTCGGCGTTGCAGCGCGAGTGATATGTTTGTCTGTAACTATATTGACACTTTTGAAACCAGGAGGAGGAGAATTTGTTATTCTTTTCTAAAAAGGTTATTTTCCTCCAATAACGCAACAATCTGTCGCTTAATTCATTCCGATGCCTTCTACAGGAATTCATTCTTTCGGAAGACCTACCATTTGTTATGCTTTTAGGTTTCTTCCTGTTTTACTTGTATGTCTGTAGTGTTTTTGTATTATTTTAATGATGTATTGTACATGTTATATGGGTTTTTTTACCTGAAATAAAGAATGAATGAATAAGTCATTAAGGTTATATTGCATCTTCCTATAGCATTTATAGTTTTTAAGACCATACTTGACATCAAGGTTTATGGATTTACAGTACTTATAGCTAAGAAAGCCCAGTACTGAGTATCAATATAATTTTGATATAATTTTGGCCCAAAATAAAACAATTAGGTATCCTGAGATACAAATGCTACAATGTACTAGAAAGTCAACATAGATTCTACCAGGCTTGTCAACCGTTCAAAAAATGAACTTTGGAACTTTCTCGTTAATATCAACTAGGAGGATGAGGACTTTCTACTGCTGTTAGTGCCAAATATGAGCACTTGGTATTGATTCATATGCTGAATGCTATATGATCCCTTTTTTTCCACATCAGATTTTGCTTACATGCCAAATATTGTTTGATACTATGCTATACTTTCCTCTAGTGTGGCCTCCTGTATGAATTTGAGCCTGGTACTTTTTATACTTGTATTATGTAATATAGTGTATCGTTGAAGAGATTCATCAGTCACGTATAGTACAAGTTCAGTAAGATAATTCTTTCAATCAGTGACTATTAAATCCTAAGGTACATACCTCCGAATTTTCGACGACTAGTCAGTTCGTCTTGGTCACGGAATGATCCTAGTCTCGCAAGATAACGCGAGACTAGGACGAGACTTGCGTGGATCTTCTGCCCCCCTCTGCCTCCTTGCGGAGTAGAGGTAATATAGCCTGTTTTGACAGTATTATTTTGCACATCCTGTACTCAACATGGTCTTACATGCATGGTGTTTTATGTCAGCATTATATTACAACATATGTAATAAAAGTTAATGAATCAATGCACTGATATATAATATATTCTTAATCATTATACATGAAATGGATTATGTGAACATGCTGCACCCAAATCATGTCTATATTGTTGGCTGTTATCTCCTCAGTCATAAGCTGGGCTGCATCTGACCAGAAACGAGCCACACAACATTCTTGTTTACTCAACATTTATTAGATTTGCAAAACGAACGACTGTCACATTAATTTACAACGCCATCTAGTTTATTTTGCTGATAAAGCAAAGTATTTCTTTCTTTCACGGACACAGCACGACAGCACAATTGCTCTTCTGAGGTACAATAACTTTTTCTCTGGAAAATAATATCATCACATCAGAGTAAACTCTACACAAAGCACATCTAAATCTCCAGCGCAGATGTCTGTACAACGGCCAAATCAACTACTTTGGCTGACAACAAGAAGGGCATTGATGTCCCCATGAGAAGCATCTTCTATGTCAGGTTTTCCTGTAATTACATGTATAACTGCAGCAACTATGTACAGCTCTATGGTTTAACTTTATCGGATAGATGACTAATAGTAATAATAAAGAGACCAAGAATGTCAGTGAAGAACACATCTTGCACAGAGGCATCACACATTCTGCAGTCCATGTGATGGGTTTGCAAGTTGTTTTCAGGGCCGAATATTTTTGGCATGCTGGATGATCGAACCTAGAACAGTCAGACCTCTAGAGTTGCATGTGTACAATGTGTACTTATATATATGTAATAACATTAACATGATAGTAATTACAAATTCAAATTAACCTGGCAACTTTCAGGTTTAACCACACAGCATGGCAGATGGTTCTTATGTTACAGTCTCATGAGTGGCGTGCACACACAGGCCAGTCAGGGCTGAGCCTCTGTCAGTGTGCTGTCATCATGGACTTTCTGCACACAACTGTAACTAAATTACTAAACATCCCATCCATACCACACAGGCCTGCAAGTACAGGCACAGGACTCTGCCATGTAACCAGAAATGTCCACGTCTGACATCCATACATTGCACTGAACTACTGAGCAGAGACCTGAAGCCCTACCAGCCTTCCTGGGAAGAATTTGCTATTATTTACAAAGGCACAGGGTCTGTTTTTTTTACGCTTCATCAGAAATGACACAACTAAAAAAGACATATTTCTGTACGATCTTAAAAAACACTCAAATTATTACATCTACCAATTAAGGACTGCTCCTACTGGCAAATCTACACTACAAGAGAATCAGTATAATTCCTTATTTTTGTGTATAAGTTTCTTATGTTTAGAGATCTACATCAGGACATGAACAACATCAGAATACATAGATTTAGGGGTTATTGCTAAAGAGCCGTCACATATCAAAACGTGATTGGTCAAATAAGCTATATGGAGTTAACAAGGAAATACTACAGAACTGCCAATGAAAATGGAATGTTTGTTTTAGTTTGCTAGCTTCACGATGTGGAGCCGACCCGCCATACTCACACCCTCGGGTCACTACACAAGTCAAAAATAGGGCATCTCTCTTTCCTTACTGGAAGTTTTTACAATCTTTTAGTAACACAAATGAACTTTTACCATTTTCATTAGCATGCGACTCTGGTTAAGACCAGGGAAACTTCTGTTCCCTCTTCTGCCATACAAGCAGACGTCTTCACAACCAGACTCACAGAGAAGGCTTCAATGCCAGGAAGACAGAGAAGTCTGCCACTACCTCACACAGAACACACCAACACACAGAGGCTCCTAACTCTCTACTGTCCCTGAAACCTTTGCACATTTCCATCGGGAGGAGGGAATACTGCAACATCTCCAGCCTGCTACGTAACGTCGGGGCAGCAACAGGGCTGGACTACAAAAACATGGACTCAGTAATACATGGAAGATTCTGTAGGCTGCATGGAGCTATGATGCTCTAAAGACTCGACCAAGCCTCCTCTCAAACTGTACATCACCTAAACGAGGGAGCATGTATTGCCTTCAATGACAACTAACATATTATAACTTGCTACTCTGTAGTGATGACTAGTTGCTATGTTACCCGGCACTACTCTGTAATGGTGTAGTTGCTATGTTTTATATGTTAAGTTCGAGGAATGTTTTTTTCTCTCTTGTGTTCTCAGTGTAGATAGCGGAAGTTGTCCCGTCTCCATGGCGACTGTAATTGTCAGATGTTGGGCAGGTGATCATCGTACTTGCCGAACTTGCTGTGCTTGGGTTTTAGGTTGAGGCCCTTGGTGGGATCCGGCGCAGGTGAGGCAGCATTGGCCTGTGGGTTGCCGGTCAGCTGCGGGAGGTGGTGTAGCGTGTTCTGTGGACACAGGAAAAACTCAGACAGCGAACAAACACTGGTCACACTTTTCATCAGAACAGCGTACAAGCACCAGTCACACTTTTCAGAAAGCCATATTCCATTCAAGGGTACCAATTTAGAAGGCTACATTTCAACATGCTTCAGAAGAAGTTTCAAATGAAGGCACATGCTTCCCGGTGTGTCATAGTTTTTAGTTTTGCCGTAGCCAGAGCTTTGCCAATTTTTGTTAGACATTTCATATTTCTATTGACTTTCCGAATGTGACCAGTGTTCCATACATGCAATGGAGGATGACCACGTCACGAGCAGGTCCTGCATGCCTCTTCTCAACTTGTCATGGTCAAAATACAAGAAGGAGGAGCAGAGACAATGTTCAAGCAGATATGCAGGAGTAGCAGGACTGAACGTGCTGGGGGGTGGGGGTGATAGAACACCCTGCTTGGCCTCAACAAACAATTATGGTAAAATGCCACCATAAACTAGAAACAAATAAGGAAACAGCGAAATTTATTGAGACTAAACTTCTGTAGAAAAAGGAAATTTGAACAAAGTTGTTTTGGGAGAGTAAAAAGAGACAGAACAGTTTTGTAGTTCCGGTGTATGCATCAGGCCCAAACCTCCATGCATGTATGCAGCTGAAGTACAGAGTCAGTCCTACCTTATCCCACCCCAGCAGTTTGGACAAGCCCTGAGTTAAGGTCTGGCCAAACTGAGCCAGCCCTGAGTTACGACAGGGTGTGTCCACTTTGGGGAGGTGACGAGGGTCACTGTGTTTCCTCTACGGGGGAGGGGCAACACCAACACAACACAAACAGTAAGTGACAGTCGGAAGGATGGAGGTGTTACATTGGTACAAACAGCAGAACTGACACAAACACACATATTACTGGTTACAATTAAAGTAGCAACACATAACATGCTACATATGGCAACAACAAAGGTAGGGGGGAAGAGAAAAGAATGAAAATGTCATGAAGTGAAACTGTACATTTGGAAGTGCCTGATGTCATGAATGAACCTGCAGACAAAAGTCAGTCCTTTCCAAGCTCAGAATAAAGGGTCTATTTGTCCTTTTGTTATGATTTCAAAAAAGGACAAAGGCAAGGACAATGATAGCAGCACGATCTGACATTTCCCCCGTCCATGTTTATTTGGTGTTTCAGAACTTCCACAAACCTTTATTCCAAGCTCTGTATGTTTGGGACACAAAAGACAATTCAAAACAGCCAATGATTTTAGCTGACTTTCCATTTTGTTTAAACAAATGAGATAGAATAACATTAAGGTCAGGGACTTGGTATTTAAGAAAAGAGTACATTTTATAGGTAATAATGTATTGAGGCTGGATACAAGTTCCACACAGAGGCTGTTATGATGTTAGGCCAGCTTACCCGAGACCGCCCTCTCCGAGTCTCGTATCTGCGTGTATTTTTGTCTTTCATCTCGCTGTCAAACTCATCCCTGAAGAGGTCGAAGTACGGATGGTCCAGCAGTTCTTCACAGGTCAGCCTGGAGGCAGGATCCATCTGTAGACAGCCCTGGTAAACAATAACAACAACATAAACATCAACATCTAATCCTTAGTCTATCTAAAAGCCTACTGCAGACATCACTCCAGGCCCTAGCATCAAGTTCAGTAGTCAACAAGATATTTTAGAGACACCACAAGCAAGGAAATTGCAGTCAGGCCCTTCAGAATATACAACCCAGTTGTCCTAGCCTTTACTTAAAAGGAGAATACTCTCCAACAATCCTTCCCAAACATGTATTTTGGGGAGAAATGACGAACTAGTTAGGCATGCAGGATTGGATTTTGAGTTATGCAACCCAGGGTTTATTAGTTAGGCAAAAGAGAATTGATCCATCTGTTCTTACCTTCATGAAGCTGAGTGCTTGCTGGGAGATGTTTGGGAATTTGTGTTCCAGTGGTTCCTGCAGGAAAGGGAGTGAAAACACATGTGACACACAGTTCATAGCGACACTGTCTCATCTAACAACACTGTCTCACTATATATACCTAACGCTTATCTAACTGGCCATGAAAACTGTGTGAAAAGCAGGTATGAAAAGATGCAGCTCCTGCTTTGTGGTTTCCCACTCAGGCGGGAGACAGACATGTGACACTACAGGTGTGCAGCTGCCAACAGGTTGGAAAGAGGTGATACTAAATGTGTGCAGCTGCCAACAGGTAGAAGACAGGTGACATTACAGGTGTGCAGCTGCTGACAAGGTGGGAGACAGGTGACATTACAGGTGTGCAGCTTCCAACAAGGTGGGAGATAGATGACATTATAGGTGTGCTGCTGCCAACAGGTGGCACTACATGTGTGCAGCTGCCTACAGGTGGGAGTTAGGAGACACTACAGGTGTGCAACTAAGATGAGAGACAGGATATAATAGGTGTGCAGCAGACTATAGGTGCGGTACAAATATCTGTGACACTAACCCTTTTCTTCCATAGGTGTGCAAGGAACAGAATGAACACATAGTGAGGACAAGAGGTAGTCACCAGAACACACAACAAACCACCGTACAAACATTAACACTGACCAGTAGCCTTGTTATATTAGGCCACACCGACTTAATTTTATGGATGACATCCTCTGAAGACGTCCAAACTAGTGCGCGCGTGCGAATAAAAAAAATTCCAGCCAAAAATAAAAATGCTGTATAACTAAACCACAGGAATACAAAGCAGGTATTGTGAATTTGCGGCAGTACTTAGCAACATATACGACAAGAAGGTACATGCTGGCTTTTTGCGGAATGTATGAATCGGCACTGTACGTATGTACTGAGTCCTTGAGTCATGGAACTTTGGTAGCCTGAGTGCCCGGCACTACCATGGACTACCCAGGCCTAGAGCCAGGCCAGAGCCTCTATGGATGTGATATTTTTATTATTTTTTTTTTTTAGAACAGGCGAAAATCAATGCGCGTGCAGATGTCATCCATAAAATTAAGACAGTGTGGCCTTACTGTGTACAACCAAACCTGTCATCATTTCACATTATTCTCTAGCTAAAATGCCAAATGTTAAACAAGAAATGAAATAAATTGATGTCACCTAAGTGTGAAAATGACCTATTATATGGCAGGAAGTTATGACAAGCGTGGGTTTGCCAGATGACAACTATCACAAAGCCACCTTCTTGCTTCCCCTCCCCAGTAACATTTGCTGTCTACATAATGGTCCCACAAGATGGACTGCAAAAATTAGCTACTGGAAGTAATACCCCATTATCCCCCCATATGCAGGCTCAGGGGTATGCATGCATATGCATTAGTTACAGTCCATCACCAGTATTGGAGATTCATAGAGGAGGTGAGGTGCAATTTCTGTCCATCATGAGAAGACAGACAGAATGATGGATGTTGCACAGAAACCTGCCCTCGCCCATAAACATGAGGACTGAGATGGTGTAACATGTACAAAGCTTGGGTGTGGCTGACCTTTACATGTTTCCCAGTGCCTGCCAAGCTAGTGGTTGTGCCGGCTATTCAGACACACAACTGAGCTGTTTGTGACAGTAGTGTTACTGTGGATCTGTACAGAAAATTTACTCACTCTTCTCTCAGGCTCGGGAATAGTCAGGCCGTTGAAGAACTGGTTGGTGCTGAATATTTGCTGATGCCGAGGAATCAAATCACCTGAGGGACACAGACAGAATGCTTAGTTATCAAGACTGATAAATAATGCGCTATACTACTACTATGACTAATGTGGCATAACTGTAGACTCAGACCTAAGGTTTTCCTAATGAGGTTTACGTGTGGACTGACCTAAGGTTTTCCAAATGAGGTATAACTGTGGACTGACCTAAGGTTTTCCTAATGAGGTATAACTGTGGACTGACCTAAGGTTTTCCTAATGAGGTATAACTGTGGACTGACCTAAGGTTTTCCTAATGAGGTATAACTGTGGACTGACCTAAGGTTTTCCTAATGAGGTATAACTGTGGACTGACGTAAGGTTTTCCTAATGAGGTATAACTGTGGACTGACCTAAGGTTTTCCTAATGAGGTATAACTGGTCGACGTCGGATTTGCCTGGCCAGAGTGCCTGACCACAGATGAGTTCAGCGAAGACACAGCCAATCGCCCAGACGTCCAACGGGGGGTCCGTACTGCGTGTCTCCGACCAGTAGCTCGGGCGCCCGGTACCATCGCGTTGCCACATAGTCTGTGTACTCGTCCCCAGGACCCGCTAGGGGGAGGGAAGGAACATTTTAATATCTACAAAGGCAGCACGATTAGGCATATTTTGATGGCAACAATAATCAATTCTAAAAATGTTTTTCTAACAAAATATGTCACAGATGTCACATATAACGAAGTGGGCAACATAAATGTTCCCAACACTCATTTATATTAGACAGAATCACATGAATAATTGTCAGAAATTGAAATTTTACATAGCATTATCAGCCAGCTCAATTTTTACGCAGGTTGATTGACAAGCAATTATGGCTAGAAAAGCATTTCAGACCCGGACAGCTTTGTTTTGGTAGCCTTGAGTTCCAATTTACAACCCGTGATAACACTATAGATTGAGGTGAATAGCAGCACTACAAACCCAGTGAATTATAGCCTGATGTTGTGTTGCCTAAATAGGACAGAGCTCTGACCTTCTGTGCCTACGTTGTTATGAAACAGCACAATGTTCCGGCACATCCCCCATTAGACAAACAGCTAATCAGCCAAAAATAACCCCCATGATGAAATGAAATGTTCATTAAGAATTGATACTGTGTCATCAGGGGTAATTACGTCCCCAGTAGCGGAGAAACCGGCACTTGAGCCACGCAGCTGGGCCAGGAAGGTAAACAAACAGTGCTGTTGCCAGGCAAGCTTTATGAACCTTATCTTTCCTTCTCTTACCCCAAACATGTGCCACTATGTGGCAGTCTCTACCAGACATGTGCCACTTTGTGTTTCTACCAATTGAGAAATTATTTAAGACCAGAAGCTACACTGGGCACAAAAGGCAACACTGGTAGGACAATATAACTGCAAACTGATAACCACAAATTTGATAAATGTAGCTATAACTGCATACTGATAACCACACAGATAAGCCTTGATAAATGCAGCTATAATTGCACACTGATAACCACATAGATAAACCGTTGATGAACGCAGCTATAACTGCACACCGATAACATTGATAAACTTTGATAAATGCAACTATAACTGCTTAGTGATAACCAACATGATAAATCTTGATAAATACAGTTGTAACTGCATACTCCTACACCTGAGGCTGTAACAATGCTGTGCCACAGAAGTAAGGTTTAATAGGACAAAGAAAGAGATAATATCTATAACACTCTGTGTGTGTGTGTAATCTCTACAGGTGGTATTACTATTAGACAGGTAACCCTGCATTTTGAAATATTGGGTAAAATGCTCTTATGTTCAAATGCATCATTTATGCATAAAGGATTTATTAATTTCTCGGTTCGATGGTTTTAATAGGTGATTTTGCGTCAGAAGCCTGCTCTGACAAAGAGAGTTCACAGCCCAGTGCTGAGTCTGTAGTTATTGTTGCCATAACAAGACTAAATACTCCCCTGCAGCTCTGACAAAGGCTGCCATTTCACCCTATCTAAAACCCACCTTTTTCTGTGGAAATCTGCTAATAGGCCATATCACATTAATCAGTTGGTTCTCATGTTGAAATATGAACATTAAAGCGGTATCTGTGGGGGATATGTACACTGGTGCAAAGCCTCCCTTAGGAGTGAAAAACAGACTCAGATTCAAATTTTTCTCCTGCCTTCTGGTTTCATGATGTCTTCTAAGAAAAATTTTTAATTTCCAATGTTTGAAAATCAAGGTAATAAATCGATGTGGCCTTAGCCTGTCAAGTGTAGGGGTGATATGGCAGCAATGGGAAGTTTTTACACGCATGGTCAGACATGGAGAGGTCAGATCTGTCAGCTGGGAATGAAACCGATACAGGAGGAAACTGCTAGCAGATCTTCAAGTACAGACTGGAGTGTTCCATGGGCCGACTTGCTCCTCTGTTCAATCACTTGGGCGACCAACAAGGCGTTTCAGCACTGGGCTGAAGTAGAACTCCCAGCACGGCCTGACTATCGTTGCCTTTGTGTGCACAGATCGCCGTGAGTACCTTGTGACAAACAAACCTCACCCTGAGCGTGTTGACATCCCGTGACTGGATCTGCGGGCTTCAGATTAAAACCATTAGAAGAATCTAAGAGAATAACTGTTTTGTGGCTTAACTGAACTACACTGGGGGTGATTGACAGAAGGCTTAACCTCTAAAAGCCAAGAAATGAAGTGCACATAATTTGGACTCTATTCAATGTTGATTGTGAAAATTGTTGGAACAGAACAGCCAGTCAACGCAATCCTTTGGCCGTATTTGCTGTGGTCGGATCAATATCCGCCATCCTTCTCACCGCAGCAGACTCGCTGGCAACCCAACAACGTCCCCACAAACACAAAGGCCGACCGCCGAGTCAATATTTATTTCATGGAGTACAACATGGAAGTGAGTAGTGTTGCAGGCGTATCGGATAATCCTCCATTCCCAGTGACAACAGTTCCCCGGCTACACAAACAAACCCAGCTCTTATCTAACAGGCTGGACTCTGCCTGCTAGGAAAAACAGCTCGATGCCCGCCAGAGGGCTGAGGGCTGCCTTTGAAGTGGGGATAACCGAGCACTGGCCACTAGAGTGAAACTGGCATGCGATCTTGCCTGTAGCACCAACATAGGGACCTCAATGGTTTGTCCGCCAGCAATCTGCCCTCCTATGAAGCAAGCAGATGGATCCTGCATTCCTGCTTGTTTGCTATATATCAGAGTGGGTAAGGAAAGTGCTGCCAGGTGCAGCCTGCATGTGACAGGCAGAACCTGCATATGCTGGGGCCAGCTGGGCAGTAAATGTTGAAAACTGTAAAAAAATAACCTCCTCCCTGTCCAAAGACTTTTGTTTCTTGGTAGTGCATGTGTTACTGACATAGTACCAAAGTTGGAGGAAACAAGTGATATGTACTTACTCAATAGTCTTGCGAAGCCGAAGTCACACAGTTTGATAACTCCCTGCTTTGTTATAAGGATGTTTTCTGGCTTCACATCTCTGTGAATACACTGCAGTAGAACAGAACAGGACTGATACAGCAAAACGTGTCACAACATCACAGTTATACAAAACAACAATACTGAAAAGTCAGGAAATGCTTGTAGCATGTAAAAAATATGTCCCTTTTTTGTCTTTTCAAAAGTGTTATCCCAAGTGTCTCAGAGAAAATGCTGCTTTCCAACACACAACAGACTTTCTGTACTTACATTGTGTTGATGGCAGAAGTTGACGGCTTGTAGTGTTTGCCAGATTATTCTCTTTGTCTGGTGCTCTGGTACCCTGCAAGGAGGATAGGACATGTTTCACATTTAGAATCAGCTATAGCCAAGTCTCATGGCTGACTGTTTATTTTCATACACAATCATTTCCGAGACAACATGGTTCCAAATATTTTCATTTCTGTTTCTGTAATGTTCGAATCCAATTGACAAACCAAATAAGTGTGCCTTTGTATAGCCTGGGTGCCAAAACCCATAGCACACTGGACACAAAGTATCTCAGCCTGGGCTCACTGAGATACTTTGTGTCCAGTGGGCTATGGGTTTGGCACCCCGGCTAGTCTTTGTACAATCTGACCCATCGTCTTCAGACTGCTGACACAAACAGCACCATGCTGAAGGCAGGCCACAGGTGGACCTTCACATTCTCAGTCACTTTAAAGGCTCATTTGGAAACTTGATCCGATTGCTGTATCTCAGCAACATTCAGCTATGAGCATCAACTTCAAAGCAATTTTCTCTTTTAAAGGCCTATTTGGAGCAATTACAATTACTTCAGATGAGGTTTATTTTTTTCCCAATCTGTTGGACAATTTAATATCAAACAGAAGTAGTTTCAAGTGTTATGGGCACTCGTGAGATATCCCCCCACCCCTAAGAGTCCCGGGAGGTTACATTTCTCACACAACTCATCCTTATACTACCCCTAAACCCAGGGCTCAAAATACCACCTGCCTATCCAGGTTAGGGCTGATGAAATTAGATTTAAGTGAGTACCTGTATGGGTAAACTCTCTCTGTCTGGTGCAGGTAATTTTCCATGTAAAGAAGTATTTTGAGCCCTTCCAAACATGTGCCCACATGGGGACCCATTAGCATCTCATCCAAGCCAGATCCCTGAGCCCAGCTTTTATCATTAACAATTTAAACCCACACATGGCAACTCCCTCCAAACACATGCAAGGCCACATAATCCAACTTGGTGGCTCTCAGGTGTACAGGTTAACATGAAAGAATGAGGGGAAAGTCTGTACCATATAACACAGTTTCAGGATAACTACAGCCAGATTTGATTTCTTCTCCTAGCCATCTGTTTGTCTATAACCAAACAGTAACAACAAAGTAGATTAACAAAGCAGCTCATTTTCCCCATCAGAAATAGAAATGAGTTCTTTTCTTACTGCTAGACCCTTCACCAAATAATCTGTCCCTTGGAGCCTTTTACTGATATAAAATTTAACCTCTTTTAGCTCTTTTTTTATCTTCAACCAGCCCTCTATCATTCCAGATATCCAACTCGGTGGCATGAGGGTTAAATGTTCAGACTACCCGACTGTTGCTGAGTTACTCCCTGCAGAAGAATGTAGGTTATCTCAGTATGAACTTCGGCAGCGGCTACACCTACTAGTTAAACAGTCTAATTCCACATAACAGTCAAGTTAACTTACAAAAGTACTGTCAACAGTGGTAAGGTCAGTTTGCACCTGGCTGTGGCAAGGTGACATCACACCTGGTTGGGCATCAGTCCTACTATTTTCAATAAGTGTGATAGATTCTTTAAAGTGCTTTAGGTGTGGCTCTCCTCAGGCTTTAGTTCCATCCAAGAGGACATGCCTAACCAATGCTAGGTACTCATTTTCACCTGAGTCAAATGAGGAAACAGGAGTTCCCAAGGGCACAACATTGGGTGCTGCTAGGGACCCAGAACCTTCAGATACTCAACAACCCTAACTACATGACTACCGAATGGTATCAACAGAAAAATATGATTACTCACCCTTTAGGATTTCTGTCCAGTTCGTTCAGCACAGTATGGTCGCAGTACTCGAAGACAAGGTGCAGCCTGCGTTTTCTTCTGAACACTTCCAGCAGGTTCACTAGGTTGGCATGTTTTAGTTGCTGAAACATAATATGTAACGCATGATCATTATTACAGTACAAGAAAGACACTGCCTACATGCTAATGTTTGACTGCAGTACATGCAAGTTACAAGGGTTGTTGCATCAGGACTACAGCAACGTCAACCTGTTATGTATGTCATCTATAATATTACACACAGCTGGAACTGTCACAAAACATACTAACTTCTGTTTATCTGTTGTGTCAATGAAAGCCATGCCCCTGGATAGCCAAGTGTTTATGCTGAGTATTTTAATGCTGTTATCATTATAGCTTGCAGGCTTTCCTTGTCGACAATACCACTTGCATAATCAATATGGCTGGCAGATGTCTGAGTAAACACCTGGTATGATTCTTATGGACATGTGATGTTGCTTAAGAAATGGAATGCCTTAATAAAATGGATGGCTTGCACTAGCAGTTCTTTATTCAGAAAAGGCAGCATAATAACACTGAAAATAACACTATAGGGTGAACTGAGTATGCCTGCACACACAAAAATACTACAGGGTGAACTGCACACACAAAAACAATACAGCGTGAACAGTATGCCAGCACACACAATGATACTGCAGGGTGAACTGTGTGCCTGCACACACAATAACACTACAGGGACTCCCAGCTTGGCCCAGTGTTTCTGAAGAAAATGGATTGTTGCCACTTCGCTGACTGTTCAGAAAACCTGCCCCCAGTGTCAGAAGGGAATGCAGGGAATCACTAAGCCCCAGGAAAATCAAATTTGCTGGCATGGCAACCATGGTAAACAAACAAACATCACACATCTCCAAACTAAGCCCTGCCATGTTCTAATTACTGGTGGTAATTCCTCACATGCATGCCCCAGTGGGTTTTATTGGAATAACTAACAAAATAACGACTGCACCAAGATCCAGCATAGCCAAGACTCCATGGTTCAGCAGCTGACGTCACATGCACCATCCTGACAATGTAGCATTATTCACAATCAACATGGACATTGTGGGCCTTAACAAAGGGCCACGGTCAATGTCAGCATCAGTCACAATAACACAGCAACTTCTCAGAGGCTAAAAACTAAAGCTGAACCAGAGGATTAACATGAAAACTGATCCTCAGGGGAAGACTGTCCCTCGGTACACAGTCTCAGGGAGTGAACATCAGAGTGTGCAATTTATTCTTACTACAAAAACACATACATGGTACAGCTTCAACAACCACTTTCCCCACCTGCAAAACAACCTGGCAGGCAGCAACACAACCTTGCATTATGTTTACCAGCGCAGTGAAAGTCGGGTCAGTTGTGGCACTAGGTACTAAATACATCCCTCTGCCATTGTACCCTTGTGTGTCCAGCTCATATCATCACTACACATCTCCTTCCCTAATAACCAGTGCCAGGTGTTCATTACTTCTAATGGGAGGAAACACAACACTTCAAATCACCCCCCTTTCACTCTAGTAATGGACCTGCTACTGACCCCACAATTGTATGGTGATGGGATCTACCCTGCCTGTACGGTGATGGGATCTACCCTGCCTGTATAGTGATGGGATCTATCCTGCCTGTATAGTGATGGGATCTACCCTGCCTGTATAGTGATGGGATCTACCCTGCCTGTATAGTGATGGGATCTATCCTGCCTGTATAGTGATGGGATATATCCTGCCTGTATAGTGATGGGATCTACCCTGCCTGTATAGTGATGGGATCTATCCTGCCTGTATAGTGATGGGATCTACCCTGCCTGTATAGTGATGGGATATATCCTGCCTGTATAGTGATGGGATCTATCCTGCCTGTATAGTGATTGGGATCTACCCTGCCTGTACAGTGATGGGATCTACCCTGCCTGTATAGTGATGAGATCTATCCTGCCTGTAGTATACACAACCTACTATGCTGGCACTATGATCAACCCTCAGCTATGTCTCAATGTGGACTTCTTAGTTCTTACTACTAACAGTAGGACTAGACTACATACTGCTGCATTCCTAAATTCCTGTGATTACCATCACACACATACTACTGCCATGCCTTGTTATTACCTGCCTTGAGCATTAGATAAGCTCCAGGCTGTTTGCTTGTACAGGTGTTCTGCTGATGTTGGCAGGCAGGGAGTCATCTCCAAGCAGATACAGAGGCCATGTAATCAGTACAACTAACAATCTTCCACCCGAACATCTGTTTCTAGATTAGGTAGGCAAATCTTCTCCTATAATAATAATCTAATGATTTTAATAACTGTTTATTCAATACGCCACAGCCAACTGAAGATGATGATTTAGTGCTGAAAGGTATATAGACGTGCATGTTTCCCTGTGTTGGGCCTTGGATTGCTTATAAAAACAACATTTAAAATCTTCTCTTTGTAATTGCTCAAAAAATACAAGGACTGCTGTCTATTCTTCTAGACCGTGTGGTTTGTGGGTCAGAAATCCTTCAGCTCCCTTCTCCTGACCAGAGTTCCTGTCTGTATCATAGTAGGTTTCCATTTAGTGAATCAAATATTTAGGCCTACTTTGAAATCATGACATAGAAAAAGAATCTTTAGAAAAGCCCTGAGGTATTTTGTCTGTGTCTATCTTGACTTGAGGTGGATGAGGATACAGATATTCCTTTTCATCAACATAAGAAGAACTAACCACCGATCAAGAAATGGATTTCTCATCTTACTAGCAGTAGGACTCAAATTCTTCACAGCTGATTATAGACTTTCATTAAACTGCTTTAAAAGTGACTGCCCATACCAGTGGGCAATTGGGCATCATTTCCAGAAGACAAAGAGCCAGACAGAGCACTACCAAGTCTTATAAATCACTTCGCATGTGAAATTGCATTGCATTAATGTATTAAGGTAATGATTTATGAGCAAATATCTATTTTGCTCTTCTACCTTTATACTTGGCTCCTGACCCACACACTGCTGTCTGGTACTGGTAGACCTGCGGTTATCAGTTCCATCATCAACACTTCAGGATTCATGATACATTTGTACAGCAAGGAGGAGTCAAAGCATAAAATTACCTTCACAAAATAGCTTTTAACTCTTCCTTTGCCATATAATAGCTTTTTCAATTGAGCTTATGACAAACTAGTATTTAAGATGGCAACAAGACCTCACTGTTTAATCTACTGCCTTCAAAATGTTGGTTAAGTCAAATTTCAGCTTTCTGTCAGCCTTACACAGGCCGACATCATTTTGTTGGCTCTATTCAGCTGAACTCAACCTGAAAATGGACTGATTCAATGTCATTTTGTATGCATATGTATGTTGCAATTTTATGCAATGATAATATATTGAAAACTAATGACATAGAAATGTCTAATGATATTGCTGCTGCTAAAATTAGTACACGAGTCATGCACCAACAATATTCTATATAAAGCCATTTCAATGGTGTACAATGTAAAAAGCTGGGTGGAGCAGGCTAAGCTGTAGGGATCATTTGTGACGTCCCTTGGGACACAACAACAACAAACACCAGCAACTCATCCCCTGCCTACAACACACCCTAATCACACAGGGCGCCTCCCTTCAACCATTATCAACGGGCACACCAAGTTACTTCTTTGTTCTCAGACGTAAAATGTAAAATTAAGGATAAGATGAAAACAGAGGGCTGGGAGGAAAACTTAAATATGACTACCTTCATTTCTCCACAACTATGTGTACCGGCATACAGACTTTCCCTTGAAGTTCTGTTGTCATGTTGATCTTCCAAATCAGCATTGTTTGTCCAACAACCAACAAATTTTGCGTGGCCTAATCACATAGGGGTTCCTCCTTCCATACAATATCCACCCAAAATCTCCCCCACAAGGCTCTCTTCACTTGTAAGAAGTGATGATAACCACGTCAGCTTGGACATATTGTTGTTCCTATCCATGTAATTACAACTCCCGGATTGCTGCTACACTCCTATACAGGAGATAAGGGCACGGCATTGTTAGCTTTTCTCCCAGTAAAAAATCCTGCATTGAGCTCAGGACAAATCCGAAGGGGCCAAGTTTACCTGGCATTACCGGGCCTGGACAGGTGTGAATCACCTGGGCAGACCAGGTGTTACCTGGCTATCTCCTGTACTGTAACGTGGCAGTCTTACAACCATGGACTAACACACCCCTGAATGTACCTGGCGTTATGACATGGATGATAATGCTGCTGCAAAGTGTGTTTAACGACACGTTGCGTCCGGACAGTCTGGCACCAGGGGACCTGTTATTGCGTCTCTGTAGCGCAGAGATAAGTGTTTGATGGGGAGAAAATCCACTTAATGCCTGACAGCTCCAGAACCGTCCTCCTTTTGACACGAGACACGTTCCGGCATGAATATTTCATCGCTGCTTTCACCTTTTTACCACGGGCAGTAAGCTGCCTGGTGTTTACAGCAAGACTGACTCGGGACCTAAGAATCATCAGAAAACAAGCCTGCCGTTTTTCCCTCACCATAGAAAACAAGACTGTCTTCTGTCTGATTATAATAAACCAGCCTGTCCTCTCTATGATTACACGAAACAAGCCTGTCCTCTCTCTCTTTAACATGTAGCACAATGACAAAGTTTAGACTTAAGTACCATCTAAAAACTACCTCATCTAACTGATCTAATAAAGAGACACACACCACACAATAGTTGGACAGAAGAATGTTGACTTTCAAGCACCTTGACTCTGGGTTAATAACAAGTTGAACTTGTAGTTGTTGTTGTTTCTTCTTTTCTGGGGTGGGCTCGGGTGGCATCATCTCTACACATGATATGTCTACAAAACTACTGTTCAGTATGCCATGCATAGCCTCTTCCTTCTATCTTCAAGGGACTTTTATCACAGGCATTCATAAAGGTCGCACTAACACCCATCATTCTTATTTATGATACTAAATAACATGCGTGTAGTGTATTTGTATAGATATAAGAGTCAAAGTAGAACAGGTCCAACTATCCAAACAACAACTTCAGCTAGAACAGATCCATAATACAGAACAATCCAGCACTAAAGTTAACATTACTATTTCACCCACATGAAATAGTATCATACTGATCTGGCCACTGCTCCTAGTAATTGTCCCAAAGCCACTTCAGCTCTTAATTTTGGCACTGCTGTTTTCTCACTTTAGGTATGAAATATTCATCACCCAGTAGAATAGCATGTCCCATTTCTGCCACCATTGATGAAGGACTGGAGTCAATGCCACTGTTCCCTGGTGCATCAACACTGTTTTCCTCTATATCAACATATCTCAGGCACCAACATCAACAATTACAAGGCTGGAAATAATTTCTTTCCTGTTATTCTACAATCATAACAATGCATGATTCTTAATACAGAAACAAGCCCTCATAGTTTTAGACTCCAAAGCTGCAAGTTGTTCATGTCTTCTTGATTTTTTTCTGCAAATTTGGAGTCCAGGGTCTATTCAGACATGTCTGTTCCCTAACACCTGTACTGTGCCTGTACCTAACACATGCACTGTACCTATAAATAACAGCTGTATTGCACCTGTAACAAACACCTGTACCTCACACCTGCCTGACCATATATTATCTCTAATCCATAAGACTGAAGACAGATCTATAAGCAGTAATTAACCTTCTCCCTGTTGTGGGGTCTTCTGTCATGTCTGTATTTCATGGCTCATGTAAGTCACAGCAGAAGTCAGCAGGAGATGGGTATAGCAGTACATATGACAGTATCTAATAACCTACTCAGGCCACATACATGCTGGGAACAACATAAGTCACAAAGTCAGACTCATTTCCGGATGCTATGAGTAGAGAATTCTGCATCATTATAGGTAAACTTGAGAAGTCATGCTTGAGAATCCAACGGTGTCAAATCTACATGCTACAGAACACTTGTACGCCCACACCTGGAGTACTGTGCGACTGTATGGGATCCCCACACCATCGGTGGTTCCCAGGCGTTGGAGCGAGTCCAACGAAGGGCGGCGCGAATGGCTGTTAGTGATTATGACTACACCAGCAGTGTCTCTGACATGCTAAAGCGCCTCCAGTGGCCGTTACTTGTTGACAGAAGGAGAACCGCTCGCTTGATATCTTTATATAAAATTGCTCATGGACATATTAATATTCAAATGGAACAATACCTCAAACCTGCCCATAGGCGTACCAGAGGAAGTCATGAATATAAGTATCAAGCAATACCTGCCAAAACAGACTGTTTTAGATTTTCTTTTTTTCCAAGAACGATAAATGAGTGGAACAAGTTACCGGGCCAGCTTGTAAAAGCCCAGACAGTGGAGGCCTTCAAGGCCGGGCTTCTGGCCGCGCAGCCATAGTCCGTCGCACCCCCCCCTCTCAGTGATACCCCAGTAGGGGTGGTTAGAGAGTATCGAAGAAGAAGAAGAAGGTGTTAAAGGCATTTCTGCCTGTGGTGTACACCCTCCTCTCATTCTATGGGGGCCCGCAAGCCCTTTTCCGTAGAGCGTAATCAGCCATTTTAATTCTACGTAGAGCATAGATGGACCGCCAATTCAACGTAGAGCGTAATTGGCGCATTTTGCGTAGAGCGTAATTCGCCCTTTTAATTCTACGTAATGCGTTGTGACCACTTGGAATTTATCGTAAAGCGCAATCGAGAAGTTTCCGAATTCAGCGTAGAGCGTTGTCAGGACCCCCCCCTTGCAGGCCCCCTTTTATGTGTATTCTCCAGCTCCAGTGCTTATCCAGCCTTGACTTGAAGCTGTTGACGCTCTCGACGTCAACCACAGAACTNACAGGTCCAACTATCCAAACAACAACTTCAGCTAGAACAGATCCATAATACAGAACAATCCAGCACTAAAGTTAACATTACTATTTCACCCACATGAAATAGTATCATACTGATCTGGCCACGGCTCCTAGTAATTGTCCCAAAGCCACTTCAGCTCTTAATTTTGGCACTGCTGTTTTCTCACTTTAGGTATGAAATATTCATCACCCAGTAGAATAGCATGTCCCATTTCTGCCACCATTGATGAAGGACTGGAGTCAATGCCACTGTTCCCTGGTGCATCAACACTGTTTTCCTCTATATCAACATATCCCAGGCACCAACATCAACAATTACAAGGCTGGAAATAATTTCTTTCCTGTTATTCTACAATCATAACAATGCATGATTCTTAATACAGAAACAAGCCCTCATAGTTTTAGACTCCAAAGCTGCAAGTTGTTCATGTCTTCTTGATTTTTCTGCAAATTTGGAGTCCAGGGTCTATTCAGACATGTCTGTTCCCTAACACCTGTACTGTGCCTGTACCTAACACATGCACTGTACCTATAAATAACAGCTGTATTGCACCTGTAACAAACACCTGTACCTCACACCTGCCTGACCATATATTATCTCTAATCCATAAGACTGAAGACAGATCTGTGAGCAGTAATTAACCTTCTCCCCGTTGTGGGGTCTTCTGTCATGTCTGTATTTCATGGCTCATGTAAGTCACAGCAGAAGTCAGCAGGAGATGGGTATAGCAGTACATATGACAGTATCTAATAACCTACTCAGGCCACATACGTGCTGGGAACAACATATGTCACAAAGTCAGACTCATTTCCAGATGCTATGAGTAGAGAATTCTGCATCATTATAGGTAAACTTGAGAAGTCATGCTTGAGAATCCAACGGTGTTAAAGGCATTTCTGCCTGTGGTGTACACCCTCCTCTCATTCTATGGGGGCCCGCAAGCCCTTTTCCGTAGAGCGTAATCAGCCATTTTAATTCTACGTAGAGCATAGACGGACCGCCAATTCAACGTAGAGCGTAATTGGCGCATTTTGCGTAGAGCGTAATTCGCCCTTTTAATTCTACGTAATGCGTTGTGACCACTTGGAATTTATCGTAAAGCGCAATCGAGAAGTTTCCGAATTCAGCGTAGAGCGTTGTCAGGACCCCCCCCTTGCAGGCCCCCTTTTATGTGTATTCTCCAGCTCCAGTGCTTATCCAGCCTTGACTTGAAGCTGTTGACGCTCTCGACGTCAACCACAGAACTGGGTAGGGAATTACATAACTCAGCCTGCATAACTGCACTGCTCTTATGCCATGGCAAAAGAGTGCCTCCTTACTGCGGCCTTTGCCAGTGGGACCTTCAACTTATATGAGTGCCCTCATGTTTTCTCTAACTTATTTTAAAAAATTCCTCTGATAGGTTCCACTCTCTCTCTTTTGGTAAACAACACTGTTAACAACATCACAAATTAACGACAATGAAATTTTACCACATTAAGATACATGTACAACTTATACATTGGAAAGAACCCTTGGTCATAATAACAATTTTCTTGCAGCATGGACAATGCTTGAATGATACGAGCTAAAGATGTCCCAAACATCTTAGTTTTGTGTGGAACGATTACTAAGATAGGGCAGCTCTAGTTCTATCTGCACTGCCTGTCTTTTAGTTTACACCTGGAAACACCTCAATTTTACCTAGTCTGCTTGAGGTATTATTCCAGCTGTTGTTCCTAAATTGACATGGCTGCATGAAAACGTGGTAAGACAACATTGTCCTGTCAATTGTTGTTATAAACAACCCATTATTTTGTCTCTTGCACCATAAACACCCACTACTGTGTCGACTACAGTTCCGCATTACCAACTTCAGCTGGTACAGTCGGAATTGGAACAGTGCAGCTACAAAATTGCTCAGTAAAAATAAAGTAAACTGCTGAAGTCTACAAAATAGGTCCCTCCTACATGTAGTACGTAACAATCTGTAGTACCCAAAACACGGCTGACATTACTTACACTTTCTACCGCCTTCTTACGTTACCTGTTAGCACACCTGAGCCCGGGTAGGGGGTGACACCTGTTTGTAAGAAGCCACAGGAGGTAAGGAAACCTTACAGGAACAACATGGAACTGCCGTACGTACCTTCAACATTCGGATTTCGCGCAGGGCGATTTTCTTTATCAACAGGTCGTCTTCAGATTCCACAAACTTCTTGATGGCGACCAGCTGGCCAGTGTCCCTGTTCCTACACTTGAACACCACCCCGTACGAACCCTCCCCGATCTTCCCCAGCTTCTCGAACTTGTCCATCGTGTACAGAAGCTGGAGGTTCGGTCCTGAGAGAGTCCCTGGCCGGCGGAAAGGTTGAGCTGTGTCGGTGCAGGTGTCACGGTTGAACTACGAATGAAGTGTCCGCGGATCAAACTGCAGGGGACACACAAGTCAAAACTTCAAGATGGCGTCCGACTGTGCCTGTCGTCTGCAGACCCAGTGGGCCAGTTTTCTTCAGCAGGTCCTTGCTACTCCTGTGAGAGGATTCCCTAAGTTTCCCTGGCACCACACCGCCGTGACGGTCCTGTGCGTGCGGCGAAAGTTGACGGGCGACACGAACGGTGCCCCCGCCGCGAACCCTGCACGGCAGCTGCCACTCAACAGGCTCAGGTGCGTCAAGCCGCAGCGCCTCTCCACAAAACCACGGCCCAAACGTCCAAATGCCAACCTTCCCCCGCCTTCCCCGGCCCCAGTCGGATTCCGACAACGTTCCGTTCGTAAGTTTATTACGCAGGACGCGGGCCCATGGCGCGGATCGCCTTGTAATCAGGTCGGAAGGACAACTGTGACAGGAACTCACGCAACGGCAGCCTTCCTCACGTCTCCCATCATGGCCGCCACACCTCCTGGATCACTCCGCCGACTGACCCAACATACAAAGTTCACACCGCTCAATTCCGCACAAATGTCAAGTATTACAGGATTCTTTCTCCAAAACACACTTCTAGGGTGTATAGAAAAAAATCTGCTGGGATAATCGAATATCGATGCATTCGTGGTTAAAAACGTCCTGCAAATCCTCCGCACTACATTGTTTTCGCGGACGAGGAGGTGTCCAATTCGACCTGATCACGGACGGCTCACATTCCCATAGGAACCGCTTGCATTGGCTCACGTGACCCACCAAGGTGTACTGCTCTTACTGCTCTGTACTGCTCAAGCACCGCTACATCCTTCAAGTGCCTCACCTGCAGCCGGCGGCTTTTGTAGCGGGCAAATCAGCATAACAAGGAACTATACCACACCATGATCATCCAGAATAGATGCTTGACTTTTCTTCAGCTTTACAACTCAAGCTTTTCAAGAACACCCTCTTTGATAGAGAGATACACATCATCAGTGGACAGCCACTGTAGAAAAGGTTACGATTTCCCTTCCCAAGATCTGTTTGTAGATAAGTTTAATTTAAGAATTCTTCTGCACCATCTGACTTTAAGATATGTCCCAAATTGTATCGACATTCTTTTGGAACCAAGTTACCTAATTACAAAAGTCATAAAAATACATTAATCATTCACTATGTCTTAAATCCGTCAATATTAAAACACAAACCAAAAATCAATCTCCTTGCAAGATTGTTTTTATAGTTTTGCTACTACTGTGGGTTCTTCCTTGCGACTGTGACTTGTTTGGCCCACCCTACTTTTGCGTCAATGTTTCAATTGTAGTCCTGCATATGTGTAGCTGATCGTACAAATGCAGATAAATGTGAATGCAGGAGAGGTTCAGGGCGAGGTGAGTGACCTCTTACGTCATCTGTCTTCTCCCGCGCAAAAGCAGTAAATGAGGTGTGATTTGCCGACGTTCGGGGGGGAAATATCACGCCAGAGGGCGAGGGCGGCTTATCTCCAAGCAGATGTTGGGGTGGAAACTCATCACGTTGTTGGACCAGGTTTCTCAGACAACCACCCACCTGGCACGTAGAGATCGTTAACTACCTTCCACCCTAACATCTGCTTGGAGGTTAAGGCGAGACACTTTTATCCAGCCGGGACCAGTGGCGAGACGAGAGAATGGATAGCCTGTTCTGGTGTCGTGACGTCAGTAAGTACGACAGCATGTCGCCTGACAATGAACCTGAGGAATAGCGGTGCTCTGTGGAAGGTTCGGAGTGATGGATGACGGGAAGGTCGGTCAGACGACACCTAGACTGAAATGTGAATCAGTTGCCACAGAAACAAGAACATGATGACGTCTTTCATCCTATTGGCATCAGATGCGGAAAGATTGTGTATTTTACTATCCGATGAAAAGTGTCTTTTAGCAATGCCCACGTCTTTACTCGGACTTGGTAGCGGTTGCGCCCTGTACTCTGGACTAGAATAACGACCCATTAGACAGGAATATCGTGGCTAGCTTTTAGTAAAACGTAACATAATCGAACGTGTTGCAAGTTACAGTTTAAAATCCGTTTCAGAACAACTTCTACCAACATTAATGAACTATGCGGCTGGACGTAGCCAATTATATAAATGATGTGTACCTAGCGCTTGGGCAGAGCAGACGTACTAGTAAATGTAGGAGGATGTTTTGATGCGGGCGCCGTATATAGGAGGAGGGCAGTAGTCTCTTATGTGGACCGAAAATTACATGTAACCAGGAACTGGCCAAACAGGATCCAGGGCAGGCCTGTTCAAGGGAGAGCATGACATAGAACCCGGAGTGGAGCCTGGTACGGAAGCGAGGCTATCCTTCACCGCAGTCTTCATAATTTTTTTTCTCATTAGGGACCATTAGGCCATGCTGATTTGATTACTGGTATATGGATGACAAATAGTCAAGAATCGCTCAAGAATTTTCGTCCGTTTCCAAAAAAAAAAGTTTTCGACCATACCGTAAATCGTACAGAGTAGCTGCAAAATGAGCAAATATATGCCGCAAATTGAAAAAAAATATTGGAAAACGATACTTATGTCCCAGAATGCCAAATTCTATTCCAAAGGACAAGAAGAAAATATAAAGGAATGAAAATGAAGAGTATTATCCAGCATGCCAATAAAATATTACTCTGCGTGTTTAGTCATTTGACCACCTAGATTTCATAATGAAGGCAATTTTTTCCGCACGCTCGCATCAGTTATATACTAGTAGTAATCAAATCAACATGGCCTTATGTGCTGTTTTCTGATTGTATATGTTACTCTGGTAGCTAACGGTTTGCGAACAGCTAAATTACTACCAGATAGCTGTTCAAAATTAATGATACAATCATTAGTGAACATTAACAGTATATCATGATCCCCCAAAATTATGAAGCCTACTTTTTGACTTGGAGGCTATTCGAGCGTGACAAGCGCCCGTCCCGGAGCCTGCTAAACCCATCGCGTCGCTCATCGCTGAGCTTGTAAGTATCGAGATTGCCCAGGCATAGCGTGACGAAGCGGCGGGAAGGCTTGAAAGGTCTTATCTCAAGAGTATTGCCTACGTCACATTGTCACTAGCACTAACGACTTGCTTTGGTAACAAACCAACAAGCGGCTGACGGGATCCCCCCGCATTGATCGGACTTTACGTCATTAACGTTTGTCTGACCAGTCTTTTATCTCCTACATTCAAACCCTGGGACAACCCTTAAATCATGGATCACTGTTCTTTGGTCGCCTTGCATGTCCGTGGACAAAACAGCCCGTCTGTTCCCACTGGGTCTCCTCTTGAGGAGCGGGGCGGTCCGAGTTTTGGTTGCCCAGCAACAAGACGCTTTGGTCAACATCCCCGGTGCACCGCTCTAAATTATTAAGCGCGTTTCCCTGAAACCGGTGTTTGTGTTGCTTTTACTCATAGGAAAACAGAGTCTCCCGATGACGCATTTGTGCCGCGTCATCACCATTCTCCTGCCGCCCACTCGGGGACGAGGCGCTATTCTCACGCCAGCGAACCTATGCTTACTGTCAGATCGGCTTGTGAACAGGCGCTCCTAACGCCAAGGACTCAACAGACATGTTATCACACACAATTTACAGGTTTACCTGACGCATTTTCCTTTTCATCTGCCTCGGAGCAGATTTACAAACATAACAGAGGTATCCGAGAGGCTACGTGGCAACCTGACGTCATTAAATTACCAGATTGCCAAACAAGTTTGTGGCAGGAGCGGAGATTTCCCCTGCTCAACCCGCCGGCCGGTTTTAGTCCACTCCAACCGGAGACCGACCTTAATATGGCGGGGAATTCGTGTTCTCCACCACTTCTTATACATATTGCCGAACGGGATTCATAGTTTGCCACGGTCACCCAACTCCGCAGGCAAATCAGTACGACTTCAGGAGACTCGAGCTATGTATGTTCACATGGACTTTAATTCTTTCCTCTCCCTCCTGACTTGTTCTGAAACATGCCGAGACTCTACATAAGGCAGACAGAAGGTTTCCTTACAGCGGCGGCACCATATACACGATAGTACCTGGACACAATTGTAATAATAATAATAATAATAATGATACAACAAAATGGAAGGCAGAATTTTCTTTCATTACCCCATTAACCTAAATTAAGATACTATGCATAATAATATGTACAGAGGCAACAATACAAATTTAACATAACATCTACACTAGACTGGAACAGCAAAGCAAGTCATCAGTGTTGCTCACTGACCGGCGATAGTTCTTCTAAGCATGCCCTGTTCCCCGGGCATGGAAGCTACCTTCTCAGTCTGCAGACCCAAGAAAGTGGCACTTCATTCTTAAGGTTGTCTGCTGCAGTTAACTTGGACAAAAATTAGATCATCATATTCTTTTGGAAAAGCCTTTATGTAATGCTATAGACACTAGCATCAATTCATTTATACAGTTGTATTCTGTACAGAATTCATTGAAAGACAGCATGCCTAGGTGACAAACTCAGGTGAGCTACACAGGTATAACTCAGGTGAACTATGCAGGTATATATTCAAGTGTTATACAGATGTAACTCAGGTGAGTTGTGCATTTATAACAATGTAACCCAGGTGAAACTCAGGTGAACTATAACACATTGTGTTGTTCTCAAGTCCCCATAGTTCTGGGCACTTGGCAGTGAAACTGTCACATAGAATTCATGTCCCCTCAAATTTACAGGCACCTGTACCCTATACAGACCTCCTGTACCATATACAGCCTCCATACCCCATATAGACCTTTCCACTAGGGCTGTAGATGTTGTTGTTGTGTTCTAGCTATCAATTCCACAATTACTTGACATAAAAGTTGTTAATATGACCTTTGCAGAAGTAGGTTAACAGGGTTAAGTACAAATGTTGGCAGTTTCACGTGTTCTGTGTTAGCTTTAGACTGGTGCAACAAACTCCTACTAGATACTCCAATCCAAGTTCAACCCTACTAGTGGCAAACAAGTGGACACAGTTCTGACTTTTAATCCTTATCTATAGTGAGGGAAATGTGCTCAGTTCTTGCTGTGAGCTGGGTTGTTCTGACAGAAGGTTGATGTCCATATTGGGATGTGATGTTGGTAAGGTTTGACCACTCCAGACCCTCCCGGTGCCAGGAGCCTCTCCTGGCGGATTGTGCACGACTACAAGGGCCTGCTTCTGTTAGTACAGCTGTGTCGTTGGCCAATCACAGGCTGCAGCTTGCTGGCATCGTCCACTTCAGCAGCTTGGTCGCAGGTGAATGACTCTAACCATTGTTGCTGTGTTGACTTCCCCGCCAGGTTCCCTACCATTGTTGCTGTGTTGACTTATACTCCTGTGTGTCACTGTGATGTACGGAGCCACAGGAAGCTGCTTCAGTTTTTACAAGCGAGCAGAGCAGGGAACATGTCTGTCTCCACAGATGATGCAGGTAACACTTGTCATTCTCCACACAGATGGTGTAGAGAACACTGCCTCCTGCCTAGCACTGCAGGTAGACGAACCCGACATAACATCAGGTAACACTGCCTTCAGGGAGTGTCATGTGTGGAAGAACTATAAAATAAAAGGACTCGGTGACTCCCGTGAGTGGCTAGAGCTTGTTCCTGTGTTTGGTGTGTGCAGAGAGTCTAGTTGTCTAATGGTTTACCGGGTACTTAACGTGAGTTTCAGGGTGAGGAAAGTCATTCATCTTCGAAGCTTCGCTGTCAAACGAGCCTCTTAATTCTTCTGCATAGCACAAGCCAGGACAGTCCACAAATCTTACTTTATTCATTAAAAACAGAGCTTCTGCAGGAAGCGATGCAGTCTGACGTCTGTCCATGGCACGGTTTGACAGGCAGCATTTGTAAGGCTTCACGATCCCTGATTATAGCCCATAGGAAGGGAGGCAGGAGCAGTTTGGGTAGAATTGTCAATTATGTATATATAGTGTCATTTCATTGGTTTCAAGTCCGAGTACTGGGCAAGGTCATCAGTAGGACACACATGACCAGCCAGCAGGTAGAGGTCAGAGGTCAGTATGTTGCCTCATGACCTGCCAGGATGTAGAGGTTAGAGGGCGCTGTGGGGTCGTCAGACGGACGGCTCTCCAAGACGATCATTCTGGAGTGAAAAAGAAATATCACCACATTCATTTATTTTCATTTTACACAACATAAACCAACACAACAACAGATAGTCAACTTCATCTGTCAGAGGACCTTCAATTGTTCCTTGGTTTGTCTAAGTCCCGCACACTGGGAGTGTGAATGTTTGCAGGAATTTCTGATTTTTAGGTCACCTGGCACACAAAGTTTGTCTGTTAACACACTTACATGTGCAATACAACACACAAGCAATGACTTCAAGAGGCCACCATTACTGATACTGTGATTTACAGTGTCCATTGTTCCCCTAACATGTACATGTACAAACATGTCTCATGAAGCCATCATTATTGATACTACGATTTCCAAGACATGTACTTTGTACCATGACCATTACACGGACCACAGAACTCTGGGTAATGCAGGGGGCAAACAACACTTTCCCATGACAACACAAGGTGCATGCATATGTGAGCGTGGTCCAGTCTATGTTGTCATGGTAATGACCTGGCCTGCCCCCTACGTTACTAGCATGCGAAGGGATCCGTGAAACAGTCTACTCGCATGTCAACAGTTTTAGAACTACAGGCTTATGCACCCTGTCAGCTGGAGTCTGGGTCTGTGGGGGTCTTCTGCCCACCCAAGGGAGACCGGCAGCCTTGAGGAAGGAGAAACACCAGCATTAGTGACGGCGGCCTCTCCAGTCATCAGTCATGGGGGAGGGGGGACTCCATCCTTTTAACATGTCTTTTTACATCACTTTTCTAACAAGTCTTCCAAGCCTTCAACTGTACATGTCTTCAAGGAGTAAATCAAGAAATGGAAATGTTTCAGTTGACAACAGCTCTACTCGCTGACACCTGAGGACACCTGTCAACTCACCTGTCGGACCCTATCAATCTGAAGATGCGGCTCTTGTCACAGATTTCTTGCGTTACCTGCAGAAGGAAGGAAACTGGTCAGTCATGTGTTAAGGGGAGAGCCTGCCTGGCAGGTTGCCATGTTGAAAGACTGCCTGGCAGGTTACCATGACAACTGTAATGTTGAGAAGCCTGCCTGGCAGGTTACCATGACAACTGTAATGTTGAGAAGCCTGCCAGGCAGGTTACCATGACAACTGCAATGTTCAGAAGCCTGCCTGGCAGGTTACCATGACAACTGTAATGTTGAGAAGCCTGCCTGGCAGGTTACCATGACAACTGCAATGTTGAGAAGCCTGCCAGGCAGGTTGCCATGATGACTGCCATGTTGAGAGGCCTGCCTGGCAGGTTGCTGTGCCAGTAGGATTGCGTGTGAGCGGCTCGTTATCGGCTTTCCTCTCCCATTACAGCTGAAGGTGAGGGTCGGCCCAGTGGGAGGGGTCGTGTGATCAACATTCACACAGCTTTCTAGAGGATCTGGCTTAATTACATGTTATTAAGGACGGTGCAAAATCACATGTAATTTCAGCATGACAATGTAGTCATTTTTGGCCTGTTTACAATTAAATACACCTAGGGTACAGGTATGAACACACATGGAGGTAGGAAGGAGAGGACAACTGATATCCAATATTTTTCTCAAGTACAAGGACTTG